AAAGAGACTTATCTAACAAATTAAAGAAGATCAAAAACTATGAACAGTGAAATGACAACAAACTCACAACTATTAACAAATACCTTAAAAAAAGGAAAAACAATGAAAACAAAAAGCAAACAACTAGAACAGGAACAGAATCAGAGAAATGGACATCACATGAAGGGTTTTCAGTGGGGAGGGGAGGAATGGGGGAGGAGGAATGAGGGGAGAAAAAGGTACAGGGAATAAGAAGCATAATTGGTAGGCATAAAATAGATGGGGAGAGGTCAAAAATGGTATAGGAAACAGATAATTCAAATAATTTATATGTACAACCCACAGACATGAAATAAGGGTGAGAGAAGCTGCAGGGTTGTGGGGTACAGGACAGAGAGTGGATAAAGGAGGGAAAACTGGGACAACTGTAATTGCACAATCAATAAAATATACTAAAAATTTTTTAAGAAATTAAAACATTTTCATGGGCCCCTGAAGTATCATGGACCCCAGGTACTGTGACTATTGCACCTAGTGGGTAATTTGGCCCTGCTTGCTGCTAATCCTCTCAGGATCTCCTTTGAACAGCCAGATTTTCATTGCTTCCTACACCAAAATAGTCTTGCCAAATGCTCCTCATGTCAATATGCCAATCAATTCTGTGATTGTTTAAAAGTTATATATTTAAGTTAATAATTTTTACATGCTACATAGGAAATTCTAATATTTTATACTCCTCATCTATAGGATGAAGATAATAATTACTTTACAGAATTAAATGAAAGATGTAAAATGTTTGTAAACCACAAATTATTTTGCAAAAGTTGGATAATAATATACTTAAAAGTTTTGTAACTTCAGTACCTTAATCCAAAATTTAAGTGTGCCAATTCAATTTTATTTCAAGCTACTTCAAGAGACTGACAATGAGAAACCATGAAAGATGGCCTTCAGCGATTCATCAATGACTTTTGTTGTTGAAGGCAGCATAACTGGTAACTGGATGCTACATTGAGAACTAAATGACGCCCTTTTCCTTCTACAATACTACCCTGGTGTACTTAGTACATACATTTCTTCAGAGTAGCAGGGGAACATCTTTTTTTCACAAGCCTTTCATTTTTTTTAAATTAAAACTTTACTGTATTTTTCCCATTACCTTTTAGTCCCTTATACCTCCCTCCCCCACTAATCACCACACTGTTATCTATGTCCATGAGTCCTTTTTCCTTTTTGCTCAGTTCCTCTATACCCTAACTCCCCACCCTTACTAGCTGACATCCTGTTCTCTATTAGTCTGTCCCCATTTTCCTTGTTAGTTCAGTTTTCTCATTAGATTCCATATATGAGTGAAATCATATGGCATTTGTCTTTCTCTGACTGGCTTATTCCACTAAGCATAATGGTCTCCAGGTCCATCCACACTGTCACAAAGGGTAAAATTTTTCTTTTTTATAGCCAAGTAGTATTCCACTGTGTAAGTGTCCCATAGTTCTTTTATCCACTCATCTATTGATGGACACTTGGGCTACTTCCATATCTTGGTGACTGTAAATAATGCTGCAATGAACATAGGGATACTTACGTTCTTTCAAATTAATGTTCTGGGTTTCTTTGGATATATTCCCAGAAGTGGGATAGCTGGGTCAAAAGGCAGGTCCATTTTTAATTTTTTGAGGTATCCTCATACTGCTTTCCACAGTGGCTGCACCACCTGCATTTCCACCAACAGTGGAAAAGTGTTCCCCTTTCTCCACATCCTTGCCAGTACTTGCTTGTTAACTTATTGATGATAGCTATTCTGACAGGTATGAGATGGCATCTCATTGGGGTTTTAATTTTCGTTTCTCTGATTATTAGCAAAGTTGCGTATCTTTTCATATGTCTATTGGCCATCTGTACATCCTCTTTGTACAGATGTACATCCATCTGTATACCCTCTGTACATTCTCTTTGGAGAAGTGTCTATTCAGGTCCTTTGTCCATTTTTTAATTGGGTTCTTTGTTTTTTTGGTGTTCAGTTTTGTAAATCCTTTGTAAATTTTGGATATTAACCCCTTATCACATGTTTGGCAAATATGTTCTCCCATTCTGTGGATTGTTTTTCACTTTGTTGATTAAATGCTTGGCTGTGCAAAGAGGTTTTAGTTTGATGTAGTCCCATTTTATTTATTTTTTTCTTTTGTTTCCCTTGCTGCATGAGATATATCCAATAAAAAATTGCTCGAGCAATGTCGAAGATTTTGCTGCCTATGTTTTCTTCCAGGATTTTTATAGTTTCAGGTCTAATATTTGAGTCTTTGATCCATTTTGAATTTATACTTCTGTGTAGTGTAAGAAGATAGTCTAGTTTCATTTTTCTGCATGTATCTGTCTAATTTTCTCAATACCATTTATTGAATAAACTAACATTAGCCCACTGTATATCCTTGCTTCCTCGTCAAATATAAAATATTAGCAAACCATATACAGCAATGCATCAAAAAGATCATATAACATGGACAAGTGGAATTTATTCTGGGAATATAAGGCTGATACAACATTCACAAATCAATAAATGTGATTCACCACATAAAAAAATGAAGGATGAAACCACATGATCCTATCAATAGATGCAGAAAAAGCATTTGATAAAATCCAGCACCATTTATAAAAACTGTCAGCAAAGTGGAAATAGAGGGAACATACCTAAGCATAATAAAGGCCATATATGACAATCCCATTACCAGCATCATACTCAATGGGCAAAAACTACAAGCGTTCCCCTTAAGATCAGGAACAAGATAGGGATGTCTGCTTTCAACTCTCTTATTCAAAACAGTACTGGAAGTCCTAGCCACAGCAATCATATAAAAAGAAGAAATAAAAAGCATCCAAATTAGAAAGGAAGTAGTAAAAGTATCTTTATTCACAAATGACATGATTCTGTACAAAGGACCCCAAAGATTCCACCAAGAAACTACTAGAACTGATAAATGAATTCAGCAAAGTAGCAGGATACAAAATTAATATCCAGAAACCAGATGCATTTTATATGCCAACAACTAACAGAAAGGAAAACCAAGAAAACAATCCCATTCACAACTGCTTCAAAAAGAATAAAACCTCTAGGAATACACCTAACCAAGGATGTAAAAGACCTGTATGTGGAAAATTATAAGACACTGAAGATGGAAATTAAAGAAGATACAAATAGTGGAACCACATACTGTGTTCACGGATAGGAAGAATTAACATCATTAAAATGTCCATTCTAACCAAAGCAATCTATAGATTCAAGGTAACTTCTATCAAGATTCCAATGATATATTTCAAAGAACCAGAACAAATATTTCAAAACTTGTATGGAACCATAAAAGGCCCCGCACAGCCACAGCAATCCTGAGAAAGAAGAACAAAGTTGGAAGAATCACAATACCTAATATCAAACTGTATTACAAGGCCATAGTAATCAAAACAGCATGGTATTGGCATAAAAACAGACACATAGATCAATGGAACAGAATAGAGAGCCCAGAAATAAACCCATGCCTTCATAGTCAAATGCCTTTCTTTTAAAGACCTTTGTACCTTTGCAATACAAAGGGTAGATGTCAGGCTATAGTAAAATGACTTAAAGGAGAAAGAAGTAAAGATTCCTCTTCCCCAAATGGTACAGTGTTACACCACTCCTAGCTAAAAGGCCTCTTCTCCTCTATCATACATGAAAATTGTTGTTAGTTATGTGGATTGAGTTGCCTCATTTGGGATAAAAGCATCCTGGCCACATCATATTTCCACTAACCCAAGTTTTTAATCACAAAAGAACAAGAAATAACTCATTACCAATTTAAATGCATCATTTCAGAGAATCTTAAAACTGGAGAAATTCTAAAATTCAACCAGGACAATTCTCTCCCTTCCTCAGGAATATGAAATGCGCTATGGGAATCACCCAGGATCTACCAAAGAGTGAGCATACATGAATGTTAGTTTCCTACCTTTGAAAAGTTCTCTGGGCCTCTGTTCTAGGCAATCAGTCTCAGGAGTTCCTGTACTCAGCTCCAGAAATATTTTTCAAAAGCTTTGGTGTGAAGCTCTATTTTTAAGCCTACATTCAGTACTTGTGGATTTTCCTATTTTAACTCCAATAGTCAGTTGCTCTTGAGATGCTCTCAGTTTCTATAATGCTCTTAAGCATTACAGGAAAACAAACTACTATGTTTCAGATCTAATAAAGAAAGAAGTCAAAGAGAAAGTAATTCTTAGTCTAGGGCATCTATTGCTGCTGCTACTACTACTACCACCACCACCACCACCACCACCACCACTACCACTACTACCACAACCACCCTGGACATGATGCAGGAGACAGAATAAGCATAAGATATATATGATATGGCATTCCACTTCATCCTGTATTTGCTCTCGTAAGAAATAAAGACCAGTAAATAACTTACTGCCAACTTAGAGTCACAATTTCAGAGACTCCTGAAACTAGAAGAAACTTTAAAAGTTCAACTAGAACAATTCTCTCCTTTCCTTACATATAAGTTAGTTGTGAGGCTTAAATGAGACATGTGAATCATATAAAAGCATTATTTAGCAATTAAAAAACTCAAACATCTTTAAAGGCACATTATTTTGTAATGATCACATTATCTACATCATGGTGTTGAGGAAATGTGAATCCACTGACTAGATTATCAGGGTAGGCAAACTTTCCCTATGAAAGGCTAAACAATAAATATTTTAGGCTTTGCAAGCCACAAATGGGCTATTAAATTTTCTTTTTTCTTTTTTAATGACCCTTTAAAAAATATAAAAATTACTCTTTTCCTCACTGGTCACATAATGGTTGATGGGCCAGATTTGCCGGGTTCAAGCTGGAGTGTGCCGACTCCTGAGCTGGATAGTAATGTTTAAGTCGTAAGAGATAATTCAAATCAATTTATAAAGCAATGATAAAACCAGAAACAGACTTTAAATATTCACACTTCATTCAGTATACCATTCTACATCCAGAAACACCACTACCTTACCTGAAATTCATCAAAACATAAGAGACATGCCTCTTCGCTGATTTCCTCGGCTATAGGGGCTATTGGATCATATGATTTAGCCATGAATCCTGGTTTCCTTTTTGGCAAATTCTGTTTAAGGAGGTGAATTCCTTAAATGAATAAAATTTAACACAAAATCAAATATTGCATTAATAGTACTTTTTAGACAACCAGAATATATTTTTAAGTCTCTAAATAAATGAAACTTTAGTGTAAACATAAGTGTAAATTCCACATACAATCTAATGTGATTACTGAAATTGGTTGCATTTTCTCTACCTCAAAATAAGCTGCTTACATATTATTATATTCCCATGATTATAAGAATATTTTGGGGTCAATCCATCTCTACTCTTCAATCATTTTGGAGATGACAAAGTAATATACCAGATGGCTAGATGGTGACTAGATGGTGACCAACAAATCAATCTTAGTCCTGAGAATTTCAAGGATACACACAAAGAAGGTAGCCCTGCCCTATGTCTAGCATATCTAATCAGAATGTTCTTGTCTGTAGCCTGATACACTAAAGACAGTCCCGCTTCATTTCTTATATGTTTACTTAATGCTGAAAGTATTATAAGAAAAGCACAATGTTCCTGCTCTGAGGAGCTTTCGATGTACCTGATAGACAAATAATGCAGAAATGAAATAACATAAGAACACTAACAAAGCAATAAAGCATACATACAAGTACAAACTGAAAGCCTAATCAAGAATAACTTCTTTTTTTCATTAAATTGACTGGGGTGACATATTCAATACCATTATTTAAGATTCAAGTGTACAATTCTATAGTACTGGGTTGGCCAAAATGTCATGTGGGTTTTTTTGTAAAATAAAAGACACATTTTTCATTTTCACCACTAACTTTATTGATTTGGATATTTTTAGTAGTATGTCGGCTATCTCACACATATATAACACTGACTGCTCTCAGTTACTGTTTCAGTTTGATCACCATCAGCCTCACCTGGACTACCTGACCACAGAGCAAAACCCAGCAAGAAGTCTTCAGTGCAAAACTTCACACTGAACTTCTGATGTTTGATCAGTCACGGCACCTTCTCCATACACTGCACAAATCTTTTTTTTTTTTTTGTTTCAGTTGCATTTTTACTTTTCTTGAAATAATAAGGCATGGTATGCCAAAAAATTACTTATTTTCTACTATCTTTAATATTAAAATGGCTACATAAAAATACACCAATTTTTTTTAAACAAACGATGATAGGACAGCTGTCACAATACAATCCAACAAAACTGTTTCAAATGAAGTTAAAAGACCACTAAGTGTTCCTAAAGCCATCTCACAGAAAAAAACAAACAAACTTTTTGGCCAACCCAATATATCATCTATGTATTGCATTGTGTGCACACCACCCAAAGTTTAGCCTCCTTACATCACCATATATTTGACCCCCTTTAGTGTCTTCAGCATCACCCTACCCACCTTCCCCTCTGTTAACCACCACACTATTGTCTATGAGTTTGTTTGTGGCTTTCTGTTTATATTTCACATATGAATGAAATCATACAGTTATTGTACTTTTCCATGTGACATATTTCGCTTAACGTGATACTCTCAAAAACCATCCATGTCACAAATGGCAATACTTCATGTTTTCTTATGGCTGAATAGTAAAAACTTCTTGAAACAGGTGAGTTTTAAACATTTCTTATTGATCCTTGGCAGAAACAAAAAATGCCTGACCTTCATATAGTAACCTCTGTTCTTACATTTGGAAGTACTGCTTTACCCCTAGGACCAACCTTGGACACATTACTAATTGCTTCAGTATAACACAAAACAAATAAAATCTTACTTTAAGCAAAAATCTATTATTTGGACTTCTGGCCAAGATAGAGGCATAGGGAGACATACTCACACAACCCAAAGAAGGACAACAAGGATTTAAAAATGAAAAACAACCAGAACTGACAGAAAATCAAACTGTACAAAAGTCCGACAACCAAGGAGTTAAAGAAGAAAGATCCATCCAGACCGGTAGGAGAGGTGGAGACAAGCAGCCGGGCAGAGAGGACTAGCGACAAAGCAGCAGTGGAAGACTGGGGCAGGCCAGGAGGCGGTTGGCGGACCCAGCAAAGTAGTGGATTGTGGAGCGGGGCAGACAAGGCTGCAGCTGGCTGGCAAGGCAGCAGCTGGTAGACCAGCAAGGTGGCAGCAGTACCACATTCATGTGTGGATAAACCAGGAGGAACACCTGGGGAGAGAGACGGACCATGCAACCTGGGGTCCCAGTGTCAGAAAATAAAGCCTCAAAACACTGACTGAAAACACCTGTGGGGGTCGAGGCAGCAGGAGAAACTCCCAGTCTCACAGAAGAGTTCATTGGAGACACACACAGGGTCCTAGAATGTACACAAACCCACCCACATGGGAATCAGCACCAGAAGGACCCACTTTGTTTGTGGGAAGCGGCAGAAGGGACTGAAATCTGGCAGAGAGTGAAGCAAGCACCATCGTTCCCTCTCAACCCCTTCCCCACATACAGCACCACAACCCAGCTACTGGGTTGCCCCACCCTGGTGAACACCTAAAGCTCCATCCCTTATAGTAGCAGGAACACAGAGACAAAAAAAAAAAAAAAATGGCCCAAACGAAAAGACAGATCAAAGCTCCAGAAAAAATACAACGAAGTGATGAAGAGATAGCCAACCTATCAGATGCACAATTCAAAACACTGGTAATCAGGATACTCACAGGATTGGTTGAATTTGATCACAAATTACATGAAAAAATGAAGGTAATGCTAAGTGAAATAAAGGAAAATGTATAGGGAACCAATAGTAATGAGAAGGAAACTGGGACTCTAATCAATGATCCGGACCAGAAGGAAGAAAGAAACAATTCAAACAGAAAAGAATGAAGAAACAAGAATTAAAAAAAATAAGGATAGGCTTAGGAACCCCCAGGACATCTTTAAACATTCCAACATCCAAACTATAGGGGTGCCAGAAGGAGAAGAGAAAGAGAAAGAAATTGAAAACTCATTTGAAAACATAATGAAGGAGAACGTCCCCAATCTGGCAAAGGAAATAGACTTCCAAGAAGTCCAGGAAGCTCAGAAAGTCCCAAAGAAGTTGAACCCAAGGAGGAACACACCAAGGCACATCATCATTACATTAGCCAAGATTAAAATGAAGGAAAGAATTCTAGAAACAGTAAGAGATAAAGGGACAGTCACCTACAAAGGAGTTCCCATCAGACTGTCAGTTGATTTCTCAAAAGAGACCTTACAGGTAAGAAGGGGCTGAAAAGAAGTATTCCAACTCATGAAATCCAAAGACCTACAGCCAAGATTGCTCTATCCAGCAAAGCTCTCATTTAGAATGAAAGGTCAGATAAAGCACTTCTCAGATAAGGTCAAGTTCAAAGAGTGCATCATCACCAAGCCCTCATTATATGAAATGTTAAAGGATTTACTAAGAAAAAGATAAAACATATGAACAGTAAAATGACAGCAAACTAACAGTTACTAACAACCACACCTAAAACAAAAAACAAAAGCAAACTAGAACAGGAAAAGAACCACAGAAATGGAGATCACATGGAGGGTTATCAACAGGGGAGTGGGAGGGGGAGTGAGGGGGAAAAGGTATAGAGAATAAGTAGCATAAATCATAGGTAGAAGATAGACAGGGGGAGGTTAAGAATAGTATGGGAAATGGAGAAGCCAAAGCACTTATATGTATGACCCATGGACACGAACTAAAGTGGGGGAATGTGGGTGGGAGGGGTGTGCAGGGTGCAGGGGAATAAAGAGGGGACATGGGACAACTGTAATAGCATAATCAATAAAATATTTTTAAAAGAAAAAAATCTATTTTTTAAATTGTTCAACTACAGTTGGCCCCACTTTCTCCCTATTACTCTCCCCTTCCCTACCTTGCCCCCACCTCCTACATTCAATCCCTCCTCCTTGACTCTGTCCGTTGGTCCTTTATACGTGTTCCTTTGATGACTTTTCCCCTTCTTTGCCCCATTATCCACCTTCCTCCCCTCTAGTTATGGTCAGTTTGTTCTTTATATCCATCTCTCTGGTTCTATTTTGGTGACGTTTGCTTTGTTGATTATGTTCCTCTTACAGATGAGATCATATGGTGGTATTTGTCTTTCACCACCTGGCTTATTTCACTCAGTATAATGCTCTCCAGTTCCATCTATGCTGTTGCACAGGGGAGAGCTCCTTCTTTCCTTCTGCTGGGTAGTACTCCTTTGTGTAAATGTACCACAGTTTTTTGATCCAATCACTTACTGATGGGCACCTAGGCTGTTTTCTGCACTTGGCTATTATAAATTGCGCTGCTATGAACATTGGGGTGCATAGGTTCTTCTGAATTGGTGTTTCAGGATTCTTAGGGTATAATCACAAAAGTGGAAATTCCAGGTCAAAAGGCAGTTCCATTTTTAGTTTTTTAAGAAAAATCTATTTTTTAAATATTAAAATATTCAGAATTTTTAAAAATAAGGAAAATTCTTTTATATCACTTAAAACTCACTTCTCCAGATAATTAACTTACTTTTGTGAACATCTAGCATGAAACCATGAAAATGAACCCGTTTTTTCCTCTTCATTTCCACATAAGCATAAAACATGTCCATCACCATTGTTTTGCCTGTACCTTAAAAAAAAAAAAGGATACTATTAAACAGTATGTACTGATTGCTCTAATGATTGTTCATTAGCTTTAGGATAATGAAACCACACTCTTCTACTGAAAAGCTTAAGACTATGTTACGTTTTTAGAAAGGAGCGTTTTTTTTTATGTTAATCCAGCTAAAAATAAAATATTACTCTTTTCTAATTCCTGTTTTTAGGAAATACAACATTCAGTCAATATAACAGGGGCTATTCCCCTTCCTTCCAGAAAACTATGTTTACAAACCGGCAAAAATTATAGATCATTCATTCTTCAGTTTCTCTTCCAAAAAGCACCAGTATGAATAAAATAATTTCATTAATTAAATACATATTTTGGGACATCATTAAGTGTGAGGAACTATCTTAGGCATTATGGGAAAATTCAAATATGAAATATAAAAAAATAAAGATTAGTATCTAACATAAATACTGAAAATAAATCATACAAACAGATTAGAGCTGGAGGATTGCCAGTTATAACACTTTTTTAAAAATCTGAGAATATAAGTCTTTCAAAATGAGGTCTACTTGAAGAAATTCTAATACAGTCAGCCTTTGTAATTAGATTATCTAATTTTCAACACTCAGGACTTTTTAATCACTGTGATTGCATTAGTAATTGAAGAGTCAACAGTCTGGGCATTTAACGTAGGCAAGCACAGAAAGCCTTAGTAGGCAGAACGGGGACAGTGGCAGTGCTCAAGCTGGCCTCCCACCAAGCCCTCCTCGGCAGGCCAGGCCCAGTTGTGCTGGTCCTGTCCCTCAGCCTCTGCTTTCTCCAGCACCACCCCAGCCACCACGGTGTCCATGATCCTCCTGTAGGAGACACGGCTCAGGAAGTGAGACCTGAGTCTTAGACTGGGGCTGGGGAGGCATTCCTCCACTCCATAGATGACTTTGGGCCCGTGATGTTTGATTTGCCAGAAAGTTTTTGTATATGAAAATACAATTCTCTACAGAGATTTTTTAATGATGAAACCATTTAGACTGAAAAGTAATTTTTTAAAAAATACCCAGTACAATATCTCTTGATATAGTGAGTGGCAGCAGATTCTAAATCATTACATTTTACCTAAAAAAGTAAATCAATAAAGTTTCAAATTCTGTTGCATAAAGCACAGCACACTGATAGATCCAGAAGTCATAAATTATCTAACCAAAAATGTGGATAATATATATTTGAAGTAACCTTTGGGCTAATTCTTTTAAAAATTGACTTAAAATAACCCTGGCTGGTGTGGCTCAGTGGATTGAGTGCTGGCCAGCAAACAGAAGGTTTGCTGGTTTGATTCCCAGTCGGGGCACATGCCTGGGTTAGGGGCCAGGTCCCCAGTAGGGGGTGTAAGAGAGGCAACCACACACTGATGCATCTCTCCCTCTCTTTCTCCCTCCCTTCCCTTCATCTAAAATAAATAAATAAATAAAATCTTTTTTTAATGGGCTTAAAATATAACAGGACCATTATATAAAAAATTACTAGAGATAAAAGAAAAAGAATAATTTAATATATTAGGATACATGCAATTTAACCTTCTAAATATCAAAATCACCATAAATAAAATTCATATCCTTATTTAATCAGTATATTTTTACTGAATGCCTATCACATGTGGGGTGCTACTCTAAGAGTTTAGAATATTCTAGTGAACAAAACTGATAATAGTACCTGCCCTCAAGGAACCTGGAGGTTTAACATTATATATCTTTTAAGATATAAAGAGATATTAGAAACTGTATTGGGCACTTTTGTCCTAAATCTCTTTCTTCTGAACAATTCTCTACTTAGTATAACACATGGGTGTTGGCCACTAAAAACACCCCACTATCCTTATACACTGTGATTGGCCCTACCATGGGCATATGACCAATTAGGTAAGGATCTGTGGGGGGAATTAATACGGATTCTGAGAATCAGAATCATCCTTCTCCCTTTTTTTTCCCTTCACCTAAGGACATTTTTTCATTGCTTTTAGGGAGAAGGGGAGGGAGGGAGAAAAAGAGAAAGAGAGAAAGAGATATCAAAGTGAGACAGAAACATCAGTCAGTTGCCTTTCCTGTGTACCCTGATTAAGGATCAAACTGACAACCTGGGTATGTGCCCTGACCAGGAATGGAACCTGCAACGTTTTGGTGTATGGGACGATGCTCCAACCAACCAACCCACATCGGCCAGGGCCCTTCTCCTCTTAAGAGGGCAACCTAGAAGATCCCAGGAGACTTCTTTCCTATAACATCAAAAAATTCTTACCAAGAATTAAACTAATAATAGAAAAGCAGAACCAAAAGGTGAAGGACAAGGGAAAAGGAGGGAAGGAGAAAGAGATCCCTAAAATATTACTTAAGCTCACAAATCTCTACTCATGACTGAATCAGATCATTACCTGATTTCACAATTAAAGCAACCATTAAATTCATCCCCTACTTCAGCTAATTCAACTGGCCGGGTTTGTTTTTTTTTTTTTACCCTGCAACCGAAAAAGAGTACTCAATGATACAGAATTAACAAAGGGGGAAAGATGATCAATTGCAAAGGACATGAATATTCAAATGACACCAAAAAATATAAATACCTTTAAACATATTTTTTAAAAGTTTAACTCCATCAGAAATAAAAGAAATACAAATTAAAATACCAATGATATACCATTTTTCACGTTGGTGAGGACAGAGGGGAATTCAAGTAAAACACCCAGGCTGAATTGGGTTAAGAGAGATCAGAATGACTGAAGTCCAACACAGGTGAAAATTTCAAGGCAAAGTACCAGAGAGGATGAAGCTATATAATGAAAGAGCTTTGAAATCAACATGACAGTACTCTTAAGTCTGGTTACTTGTATGTAGGGTGATACTCCATGATGTGAGGCAAAGAATGGCCACCGGGAAGCTATAAGGTAAACAATTTCCAGTTGTTGTAGGTATTCAATATCATATCTCTGTAAATTATGGACACCACCATGGATTCTTGTAGTAATAGAATTGCTCAGTATGTTGACTATGGTGGTAGATACATAAACCTACATAGGAGATGAACTGTACACATACACGAGTACAAGTAAAATCGGAGAAATTTGAATAATTTCCATGAGCTATGATATTTATACTACAGTTTTACAGAATGTTACCTTTAAGGGCAATAAAATAGAAAATATCAAAACACATCTCAGGTAAAGGCGAGTTTTCTTTCATGGAACTATTTTTCAGGTGTGTACGGGTGTGTGTGCACTCATAGAGTGAGTCAGGATGTAAAATATACTTCAAAAATCGTTCAAAGCCATTGCAATAAATTATGAGCTTTGGATGAATGAAGACTGCCTCTGCTTTTATTCATGATTACACCGCCAGAAACAACACACTGCCTGGCACAAAGCAGATGCTCAGTAAACACTTATCAAGTAAATGGAAGAATGAGGACAAAAGATGTTGAAAGAAGGTAGGGAAGAAACCAACACTACTTCACAATTTGCTTCAGTCTCTACAGAATCCTTAATAAAACCTTGTACATTTCTTAAGAGAAAGTTCTTGCTAGGGAACTAATACGTAAAACCTAAAACTCTCTTATGTTCTAACTTTGAAGCCTCTAGTTAGGAAGCCAAAAATGACTTGAAGAACTTCCCACCCCACTGCGTGGCATCCTGTTCACAGGCGACCCCCTAGAGAAGGAGCTGTGAGTAGTGTCCTCCGTCACGGCCTCCAAACCCAACGGAGTTCTGCTTCCCAACTCCAACCTTAAAATCAGCCTACTTTTCAACTGGTGGAAATTCTCTCTGTGAAGTAGGTGAGGTTAAACCAAGAGGCTACCAGAAAGGCACAGATAAACAAACAGGACCATTTGTTATCTGCTCCAATACCATCACCACTGCAGTCTGCTAGTCAAGAGCAGAAACCCTGTTGTAAGAAAGCCGCTGTTGGGTAAGAAGGAAGACACAAAATACTACTACAGCATTAGGCTCCTGCATGGTTTGTGCTAAGCATTTAATTAATGAAAACATTTTTTTCAAGATTGAACCATGATGATGATAATCCAATTTATGTCTCAACTCTACTGGGGTGCCCTAGATGGAGGGTTACCTGAGTCAATCATGGTTACCTGCGTCAGTATCTCAACATTTCTACAAAGAAGGGGACTACAGTCGAGTGGGCATGACAGAGGGCACGCCAGGTACAGGAAGAAGGAAGAGGGCTCAAAGAAGCAGACATGCTCTTTCCCGTCACTTCTTACAATGTAATACCTATTTCCCAAGGCTAAATATGGAGAAAAATACTCTTTACCACATCATGAGGCAGAAGACCATTTTCAGCAGTCAGACTGTCGGCCTTCCAGAAAAATGTCAACCTCGCTCTGAAGGGAGGCACAGTTATCATCAAAGACTTCAGAGCACCCTGCAGAGGGACTCCAATCACACCAATGCAGAACTCAGCCTCCACGGAAAGAAAAGGAAGAGGCTCCTGGCTAACAAAAATGGTGGGGAAATAAAAAGGAACTTCTACTGTTCGCACTATCTGCAGTTGTGCACAGAATATGATCAAGGGTGATACACTGGGCTTCTGTTACAAGATGAGGCGTGTGCACACTCACTTCCCCATCAATGTCGTTATTCAGAGATTGGTTCTCTTGTTGAAATCAGAAATTTCTTGGGAAAAAATATATCCACAGGGTTCAGATGATATCAGGCATTGGTTGTTCAGTATCTCAAGCCAAAAACAATGAGTTGGTTCTTGAAGGAAATGGCACTGAACTTGTATCAAGTTCAGCTGCTCTGATTAAGCAGGACACAAGAGTCAAAAACAAGGATATCAAAAATTTTTTGGATGGTATCTATGTTTCTGAAGAAGGGATAGTTCTGCAGGCTGATGAAAAAGATCTAAGTTGTCCAGGTACACAGAAACAGCAAGATGCCAAATGAATGACTGTTCAGACTTCTTCACGATATTTTAAAGATGCAGTAAAAGCCATGTATTGATTTGTGGGGCTGGGTAGGTGGATAGTAAAGAATAAGAGCTTGTGAAGCCACTCAGGTTTTTCTCCTAGCCAGAGAGCCTCCCAAAATGAGAATCTGACCTATCATTTAGTACTTATTTTGTAAGTATTCTAAATTAAATGGAGTATAGCCACCAAAATGTTCATCTCACTTCCTATTTCGGAATTGCTTTCCCTTCTCCCTTCTACATTATCGAGATGTTCCTAACCAAAGGTTGCCACATACCAGCCTATGTAAACATGTCATCACATCTTTTCTAATTCTTTCAAGCATTCAGATGCATGACGTTTAGTGTATATACTTCCCTTCAATTAGTTAGAATATGGCTGTATTTTTCAAACTAAAATCCAATAACTTTCATGTTTTTTTTTAAAAGCCCTTTTGCAGAAGTAGAAGTTGATCTTTACTAACCATCTTCATATATGGCAAAAAGTAAGAGGAGAAATAAAAACATTGGTTTTGCAGTGACTGAGCATGAAAGTGAAGGAATAGGAAGTATCTGTTCTCCAAAGAGGCAAATAAGGTCTGACAACAGGATGAGATCTGCTGGCAGTGCCCCAAGGTACAGACACGTAAAACTGATCGTGCACACCTGGTATAATTATTTAATGCTTTCTAAATAGAAGGATGCACTCACTGGTGTCAAAAATACCAGTTAGCTAATGAACTAAGGGAAAAAAATAGTTTGGCTTGTTTCACATTTTTAAAAATCTGTCAGTTTCAGGACCTTGAAGAATTTCAGGGACAATCTCCATCATTCACTTTTGTGATCTAAAGAAGTCTCTTTTTATAAGGTTTGCTAGGTCTGTAAATGTGAAACAGGAACTTAGTGGCATTCACAACAAATCAAAAAAAAAAGGGAGGGCCCTCTTTCTTCAAGATGAGAAAGTAAACATTTAAAGTTTTATCTTTAAGGCACTATAACCACTGAATATATTACTAAGATAATAACTTCTGCCACCACTCCCTCATAATGCAAATGTGTTATGGCTATAGGGGCCTGAAGCTTTTTATTAGTCCAGGACCAAAACTGATCCCTCTACATGGAGAGAGATCTACATACATGAGAGTTTTTAGTATCTCACTAAAATGATTGGCCACCAATAAGGTCAGGTAAAGTAAGAGCCACCTTCACCACATCAGTGAATGTGGTGACCCAGAGAGGTTTAGATCTAGAAGGATTTGTTTGATGGAAATGGAAAGTGGAAAACAGACAACTTCAGCAAGAATGAAGTCAGAGAAGAAGACACTAGTTGATTAGAAAAATCTAGAAAGTAAGAGACAGCTCATAAATTCTCCATGAAAATAGGAGTCTGTATGTCCAAGGTATAGAAATGGGAGTCCAAGGAAATATTACCCACTAATAACTAAATTGAGGATAAGGGCTTATATTATGAGTAGAAATATTAGTAGAAAGCAAAAGTGAAAAAGAATAGGTTTTTAAAAAACTATACATTAAGCTAGAGCAAACGGCAGTGAGCAGTAAGATTCTGAATTATCTAATAACCTACCTATATATGATTTCCTTCCCCAAGATCAACTCACTTTATGCACTAAATAATATCTGTGCCCTAACATGCTAATACTGCTTAAACTACAGGTATGCCCTATGAGAAGTAAGATAAGTGCCCTCTCCTCCCCCTATTTTACCTTACCTCATCCTACTCTCGTGCTGGTAGTGGATTGAAGGATGAAAATGGAAGTTATCTCTGAGTGAAAGCTGGGAAACTTGCTGTTCGTACCACCCAAAACTTGTTTTAACACACTTACCAACATCTCCATAAACATAGAGGCCCTTTGGAGGTTTGCTCCTTGAAAAAAGCTGCAAATTAAGAACAAATTATAAATCTCTAACATGGAAATAATGAAATATCATCATTTACATACTGTTCCTAACTGTGCTTACAGGGCTGAAATGGGCTATCACGCACAATACAAAACGCTTGATGTGTAACACTTGATGTGTAACTTAAGTTTCAGTACAGGAGGCAAGAGTCATAGTATAGCCCAGAGCAAGAGCTCTGAAGTCACAGTTTATATCCCCTACACCATTTGCTAACCATGTAATCTTCCCCCTCTTTCCCAAACAGGCTCTCCAAACAATGGCAGCCTAGCTCATTCCCAGCAAGCAAGAGATCAGAAGAATTTTTCTGGAGAAACGAAATGGTCTCCAGATGGGGAAAAAAAAAAGACTCAAAGGCACTTAGAGTGCGGGTTTCTCCCACAGACGGAGCTGGCTCCCTACCAGATCACGTTAAGCATACCACTCAACCAACGTAAGATGGACCTTTCAGTCAGCCCGTTAGTATCTGAAAAGACACGAAAATGAACTGACAACCTAGACACCTGGTTTTTTAAAAATCTTCAAAGATGAAAGCTGGAAACCGGACCAAATATGCAGAGGCAAAAAACTCACAAGAAACAGAGACCACACAGACAGCAGACGAAATCTTCAAAAATAAAACTCTAATCAATATAATTAATATGCTGAGAAAAATAAGAAAAGCTATTAAAACTGTAAACCAAGAACAAAATGCAATTTTAAAAAGAAACATTAAGAACAAAAGAGAGCACTTTGAAATTTAAAATACGGTAGCAGAAATAAAATCTCAGAGGAAGGTTTAGAAGATAAGCTTGAGGAAATTTCCCAGGATATATAAAAAATAAACAACAATAAAAGATGAAAATATAAGAAAATTACAAAATTAACTCAAGAGCTCCAACATCTGACAAAAAGGAATTCTAGAAAGAGAAAATAGAGGAAAAAAGAGAGGAAGAAGTTATCAATGAAATAATGCAAAAAATTTTCTCAGAACTGAAGAACTTGATTTCTAGACTGGAAGGACAGACTGAGTATCCAACACAGTGAGGGAAGACCCATACCAAGCTACAAACCTGAAATTTCAGAACTCCTGGGGTATAAAGAAGATCCTACAAACATTCAAGGTAGTGGAAGAAAGGGGGGCGAGAGGAACAGGCCACAAACAGATAAAGACTTTGAAGGAAAATGATTTCCAACCCATCTAACCTACCTATCAAGTGAGAAAATGGCAAACAGACATTCCGTACACACAGGATCTCAAAAACACAGCCCCAGCAGGGCTCCAAGACACACTGAGGATCCTGGGAAGGAAGCCCTGGTGAGAGGGAGGGTTGCTCCAGGACCACAGTGGCACAGCAGGTCAAGAAAGCAAGTCCAGACCAAAACAGGAGTGGGGAGGGCTTCAGGAAAGAAACAAAAGGGAACTTCTCTTTACCTTATATTATTGGGTGGCTTTACTAGTGCTTAGATGGCTTTAACTTCATTTAATACAATTTTGTTAGATCGTATTTTGACAGCTGTCATATCAGCATGCACTTTTTAAAAGCTTATCAAAATTGGCAATTTTTGTGCATCCATTTTAATATTGAAGATGGAGGAAAATAGGTAACATCTTTGGTGTATGATGCTTTATTATTTCAAGGAAGGTAAAAACACAACTGAAACCAAAAACGATTTGTGTAGTGCATGGAGAAGGTGCTGTAACTGATTAAACATATCAAAAGTGGTTTGCAAAGTTTCTTGGTACTATTGACATTTTGGCCAAATGATTCTTTGCTGTGGGACTGTCTCATGCATTGGAAGATGTTTAGCAGCCCCCCTGGCCTCTACCCACCAGAAACCAATAGCAGGAGATAACCAGCATACTCAAAATATCTGAATCAATAAAGTTATTGGTGAAAATGAAAAATGTATCTTGTTTTATAGAAAAACTTAATGGCCTTTCTGGCCAACCCAATATATCTGGTGCTGGGTGGGTACTGGAAATATCTGGAGGAACACTTTGTAAATTATATGATTGTCTAACCCTACATTATCAACCTAGATAACCACCCTGAACTTTGTTCCGGTTAGAATAACCTTTAAACTCTGTGGCAGTCCCTGGACAACTGCACAAGCCAAAGCACTGTTTTTGCCACATATAATGTGCAGCCATGTTTCTGTAAGCATTATACATGGGATTATCAGACCCATTATCATACGTATGGTATGTGGTCATTATACCCATGCATAATGCACACATTCTTATTTTCCCCTCAAATTTTGGGCAAAAAAGTGCACATTATACAAAGCAAAATATAGTAAATGAGAGAAGAGTTGATTCATAAAAAGTAAAAGAAACCAAGGCTATGCCATTCTGTACCAATAAGAGCATTCATATTTGGGCAGAGAACTGGCAAAATCTAGAATCTAGTATACAATGCTGTTACTGTTTTTTTTTTTAGTTTATTTATTTATTTATTTGTTTGTTTGTTTGTTGGGAAGGGAGGGAGAGAAACATGGATCGGTTACCTCTTGCATACCCCCAACTAGGGAACTGGCCTGCAAGCCAGGCGTGTGCCCTGACTGGGAAACAAACTGGCAACATTTTGGGTTGCAGTAGCCTTCAATCCAGTGAGCCACACCAGCCAGGGCAATACTGTTGGTTTTTTAATACTCCAACCTGCCTCAGAAACCTCTCCTACTTTCCTGATTGCTCAGTTTTCTCTACTAAATCCAGACCTTAGGGCCACCAGCATGTCCCTTCCAGAAGAACCTTCACTATGGTTTACACAAAAGGATATGCTTTGCTTTGACTTTGACAGCTGGATGCCTTCCCTGTGCACATTAACTCTCCATCTATTCTTTTTTTAAATATATTTTATTGATTATGCTATTACAGTTGTCCCATCCCCCCCTTTATTCCCCACTGTCCTGCACCTCCCCTCCCTCCAGCACTCCCCATCTTAGTTTATGTCCATGGGTCGTACATAAGTTCTTTGGCTCCTCCATTTCCCATACTACTCTTAACCTCCCTCTGTCTATTTTGTACCTACCATTTTTGCTTATTCCCTGTACCTTTTCCCCCATTCTTCCCCTTTCCCCTCGCTGCTGATAATGCTCCATGTGATCTCCATTTCTGTGACCCTGTTCCTGTTCTAGTTGTATGCTTAGTTTGTTTTCTCCATCTATTCTTAAATCTCAACTGAAAACCAATTCTACTCCTGCCAAATCCTCTTAATTTGTCTTGTTTTAATATCTTATATGAACTATTCTTATATACTGGTTGTTTTGTTTTCAACTTGTCTGAAGGGAAAAAGTGTTATACTCTTAAACAAATTTAGAACAGCCTCAAATTGGAAAACTTACATATAACCTAATAATCTCGAAGTATGTTCTATGTATAGAAATCTTTTGAAAACAGCATTCCGTATTAGGAAACTGGGAGTGTCCTAGCAATTTATAATTCTTCACAACACTTTTTGTAAGAATAGTCTGGGGCCTACTCTAGTACTGCTCACATGATAGAATCAGCATATGCTGAATAAATGAAGTTCAAAGCAAAAAAAGAAAATAACAAAGATGGGGGAAAAGGATGACACAAAGAACTCAGTGCTACTGGGGAAAAATGCACTGTCCATTTACCCACTCAAACTCCAAATATTTGTGAAAAAGCACTTCGGTAAATATTATATAGCATATCTAATTTATAATATAGTGTAGTATACTTTATAGTAACATTTAGAAGTTGATCAAGAGATACTGTTCTGGAGTACCAAAGGAGAAGGTTCTCCAGCATCTGAAATAACAAACAACTGGTACGACATAAATACTATTTAAGATGCAGATTCTACTCTAAATAAATGGGAAAATAAAATGGATGCTCTTCTAACAATAAATATTAGATATCATCTATCTAAACAATAGTATATACTCACAAGTATTTTCACTTGGAGAGGCAAGCCAGTCTTCTCCTAGTAAAATTTCAGTCTTCTAAGAATTATTGAAATTATTTCAAGAGTTTCAAAAATCTGTATTTTAAGGAGAAAATCAGAGGACTGAATGGAGAACAGTAAAACTATTTAGAAGGCTAAATAAATTTTAAACTTCTTTACTCATAGTACTGAATTCTGGGAGATTTGGAGTCATGCAGTTTTCCTCAGGATAACTAACACCCAGAAACCTGCATCATTTACATGCTCCTAATTTACAATGTACAACCGAATTCTCACAATTGACCCTAGTTTTTGGTTTCATTAAATTTCCTTTCTTAATGTATTAATTTCCTGTAATTTGTTCTTCTGTCTCAGAGAACTCCACCCTGGCATAGTTCCCTGGTGCTGGTATTCTCCAAGGGCTCCCTCCCCCAGAGGCCTTCTCTTTCTTCCTCTGGACCCCAGAATGCCAGCTGGCTTGCTGGCTGGCTGCTCACTGGTTTCAGTCCCTGGGAGGAGATACTACTTGCAGGAGATAGGAGGGATGGGTAGAGAGCAATTCAGGTTATTCTCCCGTTCCCTCCCTGCTTCGGTGCTGGGTCTCAGGGGCCACGTCACCCCAGAACCATCAGCTCCAGCTCCCTCCAGGCTTCCCCTCCCCACTCCAAGCCTTATTTGCTGGCCTAGATCTGCAATGTCTCTGACTATCTAAGTTGCCTCTTTTTTGTTGTTGTTGACGTTTTGTTTTTAAATATATTTTATTGATTATGCCATTACAGTTGTCCCATTCCCCCCTTCATTCCCCTCCACCCTGCATACCCTCTCTCCTCCACATTCCCCTGCTTTAGTTCATGCCCATGTGTCTTAAGTTCTTTAGCTTCTACATTTCCGACACTTCTCTTGCCCTCCCCCTGTCTATTTTCTCCCCACCATCTATGCTACTTATTCTCTGTACCTTCTCCCTGCCTCTCCTCCTTCTACTCCCCTGTTGCTAACCCTCCATGTGATCTCCATTTCTGTGGTTCTGTTCCTGTTCTAGTTGTTTGCTTAGTTTGTTTTTGTTTTAGGTGTGGTTGTTAATAACTG